CTCCCTCCCTCCCTCCCTCCCTCCATCCCCTCCCTCACTCAGCACCCTCTCTCTATTAAATAAATGAGTGAGTAAATTAAGCAAGCAAGCAAGCACAGAATTACAGTAGAAATTCAGTATGGCCACAGCACATTGTTGACTCTTACTGAACTTGCCCTGGACTAAAACACCTGTCTTTCTAAAGAAACAATCCTTGCTAATGCTCCAATACTTCTTAATTTATGCTCGTGTAGTTGGTTTTTGGTACCAGCTTAAAGGTCTTAACCTTTGTAGCAGATTTCATTTTGTTAGGTCTCACTCATTGCTTCAAATAAGAACTTTGGGGAACCCCTAGTATGTTATCCAGGATAATCACTTCTCTGTTGGCTTTATGTAAATCCACACATTTCATAGAAGCATGCCTTCTATGTTTTCCAAAACCTTGAAAGACTGTTGAACAACACAAACCTATGGCACGATCTTCGAAACCTCTCTCTAGGTTAATTGTGGCTTTATAATTTCAGTCTTCAGTCAGAATTGGTTATAATCCACTGAACTTAGGATCTAGGCTAAGTCTCTGTTATGTCCATAGAGATGACATGAGATGCCATTAGCTACCTTGCTGAAATTGTGCACAGATGACATACCACATCTTTCAGAGTTCTCTGATCTGCCAGCATAGGAGAGAGACAGAAAGAGACAGGTGCATATCTGATAAATTTATTTGTAATGAACTCATAATTCTTAGTGCTCAGTGCTTCCTTTAAAGATTAACAGTATACTGCAAAGGCTTTGATTTTTTTCATTGCTCACCAGTTCTATTTTTATGGTACCTCTGAAACTCTTTCCCAGGATCGACAGCTATCTTGACAGGCCAGACCCTGCTTTCCATGCCCATTTTGAAGATGACAGCCTTCTGACCTCTCCTGTTTTCCAAGATCCTTGGGATCTCCAGATGACAGCAGCAAGCTGATGATCTCATTTGTCCCCGTCACTTTAGAACCCTCTCCCAGTTGGGCTGTGTCATCGCCCCTCTGCACCCTCCAACTTAATCTGCTCTATTCGGCCTTACCTGATGAATTTTAGGAATTCATTGTCACCCTTGAAGGAACCCTAGGACCTACAGTGGTTCCCTGCTGTTAATCATAATGCCATTGGCGTGGCTTTCAAGGGCCTTTCTTCTGGTTACCCCTTTTTCCTAGTACCCACCACTCCCAAATGTTTTACTTGCACCAAATAATTCTTTTTTTTTTTTTTTTATTAAATATGTCCATGTTTGCTCCTACATCTGCGATTCTCTCAATCTGTCATCTTCACGTTTCTGCTGCCTGTATGAATCTCTTCTACAGCACTGCAAATTTAGCATTTAATTGCACACTGGTATTACATCATTCCCCTTTTGTTGGATGGGTTAATGTTGTTTCCCCAGCTACCTATTTTTGAGACCATATAACAGTCTGCTATACAGTCTCAAAATGCTTTGTAGTGTCCTGGCAGATATCATAGTAGTATTCATTAAGAATGTGCTTGCTTATTGTATTCTTTATTGTAGTTGAAGATGCCCAGAATGGAATGTTTAAAGGAAACAGCAAACAGACAGTTTGGAGGGGCTATTTGGTATGTTATTTTAAATCAATTATATTTATACAGTAGGTTAGAATAAAAGTATAAGTAATAAAGCTGTTTTACCTTGAGAGGCTTTTTGATACTTTTCCTCTTAGCCTAGCTTACAAGTATTAATGAGTGCCGATTTAAGTAACAGTAATGTTCTGATTTTGAAGCTGGTAGATAGATGTAGTAAATCTTTACTAGTTTTCCCAGCTGTAAGTTTTTACCAGCCATATGGTGTGGAGAGTGAGTTGTGTTTTTCCCTCTCTTATTTTAGACCACGGATAAAGAAGTCCCTGGGTTAGTGCTAATGCAAGATTTGGCTTTCCTGAGTGGATTTCCACTGACATTCAAGGAAACAAATCAACTAAAAACAAAATTGCCAGAAAATCTTTCTTCTAAAATAAAACTGGTAAGAGCATAGGAACTGAGCAGTGAGTATAACACATTTCATGTAATGCCCGACTGTTCTCTGTGGTCCATTTGAATTCTAGCATAGCTGATAGTCATAAGCAGAGCAGGTCTCTATTCTGCCACAGTGTTGTCTTTCTTTATGGAAGATCCTTACTCTTTTTATTTGGGCAAAAGTTGCAGAGTCTTACTTGGTTTACTGGATTCCCAGACAGAAACATGATTCATTTGTTTAACAAATGAGCTCCTACTGTGTCTCAGGTGCCGTTACACCTGCTGAGAGTATAGCAGTAGACAAAACAGACAAAAGACCTGGTGGAGCTGACAGTGCAAGGAAATGGAAGCACAGAGGAGGGAGTAGGGGGGGAGGTCAAACTCACAGTAAGTAGACAGGGACTGCAGCCTGAGCCTTTATTAAGAGCCTTCACTCATAGAGGGAGGATGCATCAGATACTTGGAATTTTGATAACGTGAAAGCCTTCTTCACTAGTAGGTAATTGAGCCACCAACGTATTTAGAACTTGTACCTATTAACTCTATATGTTTTTGTTTTTTTTCTAAAATATTTTATAACACGTATTCATTTTTGAGAGAGAGAGAGAGTGTGAGTCGGGGAGGAGCAGAGAGAGAGAGACACAGAATCCGAAGCAGGCTCCAGGCTCTGAGTTGTCAGCACAGAGCCCAACATGGTGCTTGAACCCACAGACCGCAAGATCATGACCTGAGCCAAAGTTGGATGCTCAACTGACTGAGCCACCCAGGCACCCCTAACTCTTAATGCTTTGATGCCATTTGTTAGGGTTGACTCTGGAGGCTGACCCAAGACATGCCTTTTCCTTAACATTTATTGTTTTCAAGCCACTTGCTCTATTGTGTGGGTGTTCTTTCCTTTTGACCTTATGTCAAGATGCCTGCAGTTCTGTCAGAAACATTCCGGGTTATGAAACATGAATGCCTTTTTCTTAGAACAGAAGGCATAAAGTTCTGGGCTCAGAAATTTTTAGGGTCTGGTTTTCTTGATTTTGCAAGGAAACATTCTTTAAATTCTGCCACGGTCAGGTTCCTGATTCTTACTTCCTTCTATTGATGTCGTTCAACAATTTAGAGGTGAAAGGGTAGAGATGAGGAAGCAATGGTGGGGGAGAGCAGTGATTGGAGAGTTCTTGAGTTCCTGTCTTGACCATATTTTTTATACCCTGCCCCACTCCTAAAGTTCCCTTTAACTTCTTTTCTCCATAAATGTACCACTGTTTTAAGATATACTACATCACCTCTGTAAGTGCGATGGTAATAGAATGATATTTATATTCTTTCTTTTTTTCATATTTTCCTAAGTTTTTTTTATGGTACCTGGAAATATGGTAGTGTGCAGCTAGATCAGGGTTGAATTATTACTTATCTTCAGTTATTTAAAAATAGATATTCCTGGGGCGCCTGGGTGGCTCAGTTGGTTAAGCAGCCGACTTCGGCTCAGGTCATGATCTCGCGGTCCGTGAGTTCGAGCCCCGCGTCGGGCTCTGTGCTGACAGCTCAGAGCCTGGAGCCTGTTTCAGATTCTGTGTCTCCCTCTCTCTGACCCTCCCCCGTTCATGCTCTGCCTCTCTCTGTCTCAAAAATAAATAAACGTTAAAAAAAAAATTAAAACAAAATAGATATTCCTCCTTCCTCTAAGTTTTTTTGTTTGTTTAAATTGAAAAAGTTTGACATAACACTGTGTAAATTTAAGGTGTACAACATGTTACTTTTTTTTTTTTAATGTTTATTTTGAGAGAGAATGAGCGAGCAGGAGAGAGGCAGAGAGAGAGGAAGAGAGACTCCTAGGCAGGCTTCACGCTGTTAGCAAAGAGCCTGATGCAGGGCCCAATCTCACAAACTGTGAGATCATGCATGACCTGAGCTGAAACCAAGAATCGTCCGCTTAACCAACTGAGCCACCCAGGTGCCCCTATGATATGTTACTTTAAATACATTTATGTATTGTAATATGATTGCCATGGTAGCAGTATTTATCACTACATAATTATAGCATAGTATTGTCTATATTGATTATACTGTGTATTAGCTCTCTCTGGCTTATTTATTACTCATTGCAAAGTTTGTGTTTTAAAACATCGGTCTTATTCCCCAGTCCCCCATCCCCTGGTAAATACCATTTTACTCTGTTTTTTATGAGTTTGACTTTTTTGGACTCCACATATAATTTGTCTTTCTCTGACTTGCCTCACTTATTAGTGTAATGTACTAAGCATTAGGTCCATCTATGTTGTAACAGATAGCAGGATATCCTCCTCTCTCACGGCCAAATGGAATATTATTATATTCCATTATGTATATATACTACATCTTTTTTTTTTTTTTCTTTAATCTGTTCACCTGTTGATGGGCATTTTGGTTGTTTCCATATCGTGGCTATTGTGAATAATGCTGTAATAAACATGGGAGTGCAGATGTCTCTTCAAAATCCTGTTTTCATTTCCTTTGGATATGTGCCCAGAAGTGGAATTGCTGCATCATATGGTAGGTTTATTTTTAATTTTTTAAGGAACCTCCATATTGTTTTCCATAGTGGTTGGACCAATTTACATTTCCACCAACAGTGGACAAGGGTTCCATTTTCTCCACGTCCTTGCCAGCACTTGTTGTCTCTTGACTTCTTGATAGTAGCCATTCTGACAGGTATGAGGTGGTATCTCATTATGGTTTTGATTTGTATTTCCTTGATGATTAGTGATGCTGAACATCTTTTCATGTCTGCTGGCCACTTTAATGTTCTCTTTCAAAAAATGTCTACTTAGTTCTGCTCATTCTAATTTATTGTTTATTTATTTATTTATTTCTCCTTTTTAAATTGGATTTTGTTGTTGTTGTTAAGCTGTATGAGGTCTTTATATTTTGGATATTAACCCCATTATCCAATATATGGTTTGCAAAAATTCCTCCCATTCTTTAGGTTTTCTTTTCATTTTGTTAATTGTTTCTCTTGCTGTGCAGAAGTTGTTGAGTTTGATGTAGTCTCATTTATTGATTTTTTATTTTGTTGTTTGTGCTTTTGGCATCACGTCCAGAAACTCATTGCCAAGATTGCTATGGAGGAGATCCTTCCCTTTGTTTTCTTCTACGAGTTTTATGGTGTCAAGTCTTATGTTTAAGTCTCTGATAATTTGTAGCCAATTTATGTGTGTGGTGGGAAGGAGGGATCCCTCTTTTCACTGTTCTGCATGTGTTTTTCTCCCATCACTTATTTTTCGTACTGATTTGGACAGATAAAAGCATAGATTAGCGTTCGTTTCCCCCGATGTTTATTTAGCTTCTTGGCTTCCAAGCTATTGGTTCGGGAATTATAGACGCGTGTAGCTGTACTTCTGACTGTTAGCTCAACTTCCTTATGCAGAGAGAATGACATTCTTGAATCTGTTTATATGATTCCAACTGTAATACATTTTTAAAGGAAAGAAGGTTCATGATACATCTCCATCCTCCACTCGGGTTTGACCACCCCACTGCGCTTTGGCTGCTGCAGGTGCTCACCAGTGCTGACGGCTTTTGGTGCGTCTGTTGGTGGATGGGTGTGTGCCACCAAAGAATGCCAATCCAAGTAGCAGTTAACCCTTCAGCAAACTATTTTGGGTATGGAGTGGTGTGTGCAGGTAGAAGTAGGGCGGGGGAGTAACTTGAATTGGACGAGGAGTACCAGCAAGCTCTGTGCTCTGTGCATGATGATACCCCCTTCCACCATTCATTCACCCAGCTGGAGCTTTATTTGACTCCCAGACTTGTCTTTGTGGAGGCTGTCACCCCCTCTGAGGGTCAGGCTGAGTACCCACAACATTCATTACAGGTCATTTTCCTGATGCCAACACCTGTGATCAGTTTCAGGGATTAGAACTTCTGGTTTTTGTAGGCTAAAGAGAAAATGACAAAGGGGAACAAGAGGAGTGTATCAGCAGTTGAGGCCAATTCTTCGAGTGACTGTTTTTCTGTAGGTTCCTCTTCCTGGTTTTATTATGAATACCTTGAGAACGAAGTTTCCTGTCACTGGGTTCCCAGTCCATTTAGAGTGTGAGCTTTTAGTAGGTGTCTGCTGTTTGCCAGGGAGTGTGCTAAGGATCACTGAGTGAATAAAAGCATTTAAATAATTTTTGGGGGTGATCACTTCCAAGTAAGTGTTTGTACAGTGTTGTAGGAACACCTGGGCTTTAGTTGTACTGGGGCAAGGAAGGCTTTGAGAATAGAAGGACTCTTAGCTGGGCCCTGAACACAGCAGCCGTTCTCCTGGCAGAGAAGGGAGGGGGAAGACCATTCCAACAGGAGGGAACAGCTTGAGCAAAGGACTGGAGGCCTATAAGTCAATGATTTCCTGAAAACCGAGGCAGCTGGTTCCCGGAGGCTAGAAACCAGGCAGGGATTTTGCTGGTGCTGAGAAAGGGGAAAAGAGATTGAGGCCAGATTGAGAAAGATCTCCTGTTAAGGTGCCTGAACTTTATCCTGGAGACAGGGGGCAACCAGGAGCACTTAATCTGTTTCTAAGGAATGTAATAGGTGAAGGTATGGTAGGCAGAGATTAAGCAAGATGAGGCTGTGCAAAAAACCTGTTCAGCCACTGTGGCTATAGCCCAGCAAGATGTTCAGGTTCAGCAAGTGCCTTGGCAATGGTGCCAGTGATGAGAATGGTTCCAAAAACATCTGCAAGAAATCCTCAGCATGACCTAGTGACTTATTAGCCATTGGTGAGAGGGAAGGAAAAATGAAAGGGGAAGTGGATGTTACTAGTGAAGATGGAAGTGATGGCTTTAACCACATTTGGAGCCTCCATGGGAGAAGCAAGTTTTTTGGAAAGGAAATCCAGAGCTTAGCTTAGGGCATGTTATGTTAGAGGTGTTTCGTGGCATGTGGGAGAAGAGGGCTATTGGACACTGGACTTCAGGACCTAAACGAGCTGGACCGTTTTGCCCTCCCAGGGTCCTCCAGGAGGACTTGAGGTAGGCCTGTGGCCTCCGAGTCACCCAGGGCTCGGTTCTGTCCTTCAGACCCTGCCTGGGCACGAGTGCCCAGGACAGGCACTGCCTGTTCACTTGTGTACCCCTCATGATTACCACAGGGCCTGGCACCTAGGGGGCCACTCCAGAAATGCTTGTGGAAGGCATGAGCAAGAAGAAATGCTGTGACTGAGAACATACCTGCCGTGTACCATGGCCTGGAATATAAAGGGAAATGTTTGAGCAGTGTGATTATTCTAAGAAGTCACTTTGGGTTTTGGTACCATAGTCATATACATACAACTTTGCATTTATCGTTCTGTTTAGAGCAAAACCAGAATCTCCTCACTCCCGAGGAGGGGAAGTAGGGTTGAATGTAGTTGCAGTTGCAGAACAATAGATTTGAATTCATTAAAACTTTTATGTGGCCTATAGTTTTACAAATAAGTCTTTTCTATTAAAAGCTTTCTAGTTTGATGTGATTAATAACCCTTTATCTGTAGAATTTTTGTACATGATGGACACAGAATTCACCTTTTGGGAAATGAGATTATCCTTTGGTCTTTATTTTTAGCTCACTCTAAATCATTCTGTATTTTCAGACATTTTTACTCATAGTGGAGTTTTCACTTGTTTTTTGATTTTTTGTTCACTTCTTTAACATATGTTAGAGCATGTGGAAAAATCTTCCCAAAGTTCCCAAGTACATTCTACCATTTGGTTTATGATTCAGTACTACTGGTTGCTGAGTGAGTGTGCAAAAGAAGTGGAGAACATGGACTTATCTTCAAGCTACTTAGAATCATGTTTTGGAGATAGTATGTGTGCATGTGAAGTATTCAAGCAGCAAGACAAGACAGTGTAATATTAGGTATCGAGCAGAGTAGCAGAGGCTTCGGGTTGGCATTTAGAGTCAGGAAAGGTCTATGTGGATTAGAGACATGAGAGAAGTTTTCAAAGACTAAGACCCTGTACAGATCCTTGAAGGCTGACCAGGGTGTTTGTTCCGACAGGAAGGACAGTGCGGGTGGGGTGAGAACAGCATATTGTCCTACCTGGACTCTGTTCCCTCAAACCTCTATTCAAGGCACATTCAAGGTAACAGTAACAGTAAATTATTGTAATACTGTATTGATGCCCATTTTAGTGACTTCCCTGAAATTACCTTATGCACCTGCTCTTTTAAAGGATAGTACCCTTTGGCCTGTTTTATTCCTAAAGTAGGCACTTCAGTAGATTAAACAAACAACTCTGGAACTGATTTTAGTTTTAGAAAATTCTTGAGTTGTCTAATTACTGGAATGAGTTTATTTTTCATTTATATTAGTTGGCATGTTTTTCCCCTAACCTTATGCCACCATGTATAGGTATATCGATCCATTATTCTAGATAATGCTATAGTAAACAAACATCCTGAAACCTCTGGCTTAAAAATAACAAACCTTTATTTCTCCATCAGGTTAAAGAAATGTCTGTTGTGGGTCTGCAGTGGGTGGGTGTAGAAGTTGTTCTCTCTTGGAGAAACTTATAATTTAAAGAACTTAGATGAAATGATAGTTTCACATAAGAAGCTATATATGGAGGCAGTTGCTCATAGTTGCCCAAACTAGGAACTCCAGCCTTGGGCACTTACTACACCCACTTTTCCTTACCACCTCCTGTCTCCCTGCAGACGTAATTAAGTGTCCAGGATTAGGGTGCCACCTAGTGGCTATCAGAGGATACTTCCTCCCCAACTTTTTCACCACTCACAACTTGATGGCAGCAGAACAGCTTGTTTCAACATGTAAATAGTTCCTGAAGCTCTTTACCTTTTATCTTTCTAATTAGGAAAATGTCCATGAAATTTCAGAATGGTTTCCCAGACTACAATCATTTCGGATAGAAGAGATTAAGATAAGGATATTTACCCAATGTTAAAACACTACATTTATAAACATTTGGTGATTTTATATTCCAGGGAGCCCTCAGAGGTGCTGTGGGAGGCAGTGAGGGAGGGAGGGGAGGAGCAGGGGAGGCTGGGGTGGGCAGTGAGACTCGGTAGATGTCCGGATAGAAGAATATCTGCCCTGCCTCCTACCTGTCCCACCACATAGCAAGGTAGGATATGACAGCAGTGGGAGCTGACCTTCGGTGAGTGCTTAGTATATGCCAGGTGCCATTAGCATGGAAGAAAGTAATCTGTCAGAAGACAGTATCCACTTGTGCATGGACATGCCCATACACCCACACACAATTTGTGTTAAGGGGAAAAATATAAATGAAATTCTAACTTTAGCTTCTAGTTTTTGGCATAAATAAGCTGAGGAAACATTGAAAGATGAGGTAAATATAGTCATGTAACATATACAGGAGTTCAAAATGAGCCCATAATGATTTATGTTTGCTATGTTTTATAAAGAAAGGATGCCATAAATTAAGGAACTGGCCCTGTTAGAAGAGTCAGTTGGGCAGAAGGTTTTGCTTTCCAAGATTAGTAGTTTCCAATCCTCCCTACCCTTTAAGGTCTGAAAGCCTCTTTTCATAGGAAATTGAATGATACAGAGTTAGAACATGAAACAGCTCAAGGGTGGTGTGGACTCTGGTAGTGGTGGGAAAGCCTGTTTGTAAAATATGTTGATGTTTGTGATGTTCCCTTACACATGATTTCTTTGAAAGCTTTGCCCCCCAAAGCGCTTTTCGTATGGAAGTCCTACAGTCAGTCCTGTCAAAGGTGCTCCTCTTAAATGTGGGGCACAGAAGCCGATTGGAGGCCCTGCTAATGGGTGTGCTCTCTGCCAGTCTGGGCAGTTACTTTGCAGGTTTCTCCCAGTAGAAGCAGATTGGTAATATTCTAGAACAAAGGTCACAATTGGTGACCAGTTGTGTTTTGTTTGAGAGCATGACCATCAAAAACATTCGAGTCAGCATTGAAAAATGGGGAGATTTCTTACAACACTCGGGGATCCTGGTGTCTCAGGATCTGGCCGCACTTGTCAATGTTGAGCAGTGGCTGCAGCTTGTGGATGGCCCTGAAATGTCCCATTTCCCACAACTCCATCACTCGCTCTGCTTTACATGCCTGGTCTCTTCCGTTCACTTGGGAAGTGTGTCTGGCCTGTTCAGGTCTTCTTTTGGTGATAATAGCCTTACTAGTTCATAATCTATATAAAGAGATACATTTAATCTTTAAATATATATACAATATATTTAAGCATGCATCATACACTATGTATATATTTAAAGATTAAAGATCAAACTGGGATCAAATGTGTCTCTTCTTTGAGGTTGAGTTTTTCTACGCGTAACCCTTCTGTTATTTTACAGTTGCAATTGTATTCAGAGGCCAGTGTAGCACTTCTGAAACTGAATAACCCCAAAGATTTCCAAGAACTGAGTAAGCAGACCAAGAAGAACATGACCATTGAGGGAAAAGAACTGACTATAAGTCCTGCATATTTATTGTGGGACCTGAGTGCCATCAGCCAGGTAAGGCATGAACCTGGATCAAGGGTTTAGATTGTTAAAGATTTGTAAGTCATTATATTAGAAGGAAGAGGATTTCCAGAGAGAGGAGTTGATTGGAACTTTTCTAATTTTCCAATCACTGCCATTGGTTAACATTAACCGAAGTGACCTAGAATCAGATCCGAGAAACTTCTCTCTTTAGAAAGTGCAAAAGGGGGCAACTGGGTAGCTCAGTTGGTTAAGTGTCCAACTCTTGATTTCAGCTCAGATCATGAGCTCACGGGTTTGTGAGATTGGGATTCTCTCTTTCTGTGCCCCCACTCATGCACACGCTTGCTAGCTCTCTTAGAATAAATAAACTTAAAAAAAATTAAAAAGTACAAAAAAAAAGTTGGGTATGTATGTATGTATGTATTTATTTAGAGGTGGGGAGGGGCGGAGAGAGAGAGAGAATCCCAAGCAGGTTCCACACTCCTGGTGGAGCTTGATGTGTGGCTTGGTCCCATGACCTGAGCTGAAATTAAGAGTTTGATGCTGGGGCGCCTGGGTGGCGCAGTTGGTTAAGCGTCCGACTTCAGCCAGGTCACGATCTCGCAGTCTGTGAGTTCGAGCCCCGCGTCAGGCTCTGGGCTGATGGCTCAGAGCCTGGAGCCTGTTTCCGATTCTGTGTCTCCCTCTCTCTCTGCCCCTCCCCCGTTCATGCTCTGTCTCTCTCTGTCCCAAAAATAAATAAACATTGAAAAAAAAAAATTAAAAAAAAAAAAAAAAAGAGTTTGATGCTTAACCAAATGAGCCACCCAGGCACCCTTATGTTGTTGTTTTAAATATGCCAAGTGTTTCGCATTTTTTTGTAATGTTCAAATGTAGGGCTTGGTCTTTAAAAGTCTGCCAGAGCCTGAGAGCAGATTGGGCAGAGGGATAGCCAGGAGGAGAAGGTATGACTTAAGTGGTATTTTACATCTTCACGTGTGAAATGGTTTTCTCAGTCTAAGCAGGATGAAGATGTTTCTGCCAGCCGTTTTGAAGATAATGAAGAGCTGAGATACTCCCTGCGATCCATTGAGAGGCATGCTCCATGGGTTCGGAATATTTTCATTGTCACCAATGGGCAGATTCCCTCTTGGCTGAACCTTGATAATCCTCGAGTGACAATAGTCACACACCAGGTCCATGACTTTCCATGTATCACAAGGCTGTGGTTTTTCTGTTGCTCACTGCACCTTTACCTATCCCTCATTTCATTCCTCGTACCCTCCCCCTCCCCACCTGCATCCCCTTCATTTTTCTTCTCATCTCCCTTCCTTCCTCCCATAACCAAAACCAAAACAAAATGATTCTTATCCGCCCTCTTTTTCTCTTGCCTTTTTATGTCGTCATTTGCTTAAAAGGATGTTTTTCGAAATTTGAGCCACTTGCCTACCTTTAGTTCACCTGCTATTGAAAGCCACATTCATCGCATCGAAGGGCTGTCCCAGAAGTTTATTTATCTGAACGACGATGTCATGTTTGGGAAGGATGTGTGGCCAGATGATTTTTATAGTCACTCGAAAGGTCAGAAGGTGAGTGCCTAAGAGGAAGGGATGCCTAGCTTAGCAGTCACTTAGAAGTTATAAACAGTAGGTCAGGACATCGAGTATGCGTACTACTGTATTCAGTTTTGAGTGCTAAGCTCAGGAGAGTTAATAATTTGGGAGTACAAAAACTGTTCCCTAGTAGTTTTTTACTTTTCTGCCCTGTCAGACACCTAGAACCCACGTTCTAAATTATTCTATTACAATAACAGCAGAAAAAAGTAAAGTCACTATGAAATATGAAATCGTGGTTAGACCATCAGCAAAATGGCCAGGATAAAAGTGAGCTCACTTTTCTGCTTACAGCCATGGATAAAATTTCATTTAAGGCAGTGGTCTCACTCTGGCTTTGAGAGGCATGATGGGGAAGTGGCTTTGAGCACACAGCCCGGAGCAACGGTTGAGGACCGTCCTGGGCCAGTGACTAGATGTGGGTTTCCTGTCTGCAAAGTGCGGAAGCTAGGAGTACGCCTGTGGCGCTGTTGGAGGGAATCAGTGATGAGCTGGAGACTTAGTCATAAGCTTTTAAGTGCCAGAACCCTGCAGGTGGAAGTGCTAACTGCACAGAGCTACTTTCTTGCTGTTTATGCTGCCCCAGAGTGCTCATCCTCTCCTCCCCTGTTCACTTGCCTCCTCTGTGTTTGTGGGGCTGCCACGCTGAGCTGCGGCTCGGCAGTGGAGACGTACAGAATCAGGGCCTTGAACGGCGATTTCCGTGCCGGCAGGTATGCCCTGGTGCGAAGAGTGGGAGTTCAGGAGGCTGAAATCCGGGCCAGAGACTAATTCCCATCTGAACTGAAGTGAACTTTGAAGAACAAATAGGAGTTAACTAGATGAAGAAAGACACTCCAAGTAGATGGAGCATGCAGAGGCATGGAGTGCATTTTTTAAAAAATTAATTTAAAAAGTAACCTTGTGGGACGCCTGATTGGCTCAGTCGGTTAAGTGTCCCATTTCAGCTCAGGTCATGATCTCACCACTCATGAGTTCGAGCCCCGTGTGGGGCTCTGTGCTGAGGGCTCAGAGCCTGGAGCTTGCTTCTGATTCTGTGTCTTCCGCTCTCTCTGCCCCTCCCCTGCTCATGCTCTGTCTCTATCTCCCAAAAATAAATAAACATTGCAAAAATTAAAAAAAAAAAATAAGGGCGCCTAGGTGGCTCAGTCAGTTAAGTGTCTGACTTCAGCCCGGGTCATGATCTCACAGTTTGTGAGTTCGAGCCCCGTGTCAGGCTCTGTGCTGACAGCTCAGGGCCTGGAGCCTGCTTCAGATTCTGTGTTGTCTTCTGTCTCTGCCCCTCCCATGCTCATGGTCTGTCTCTCTGTCTCTCAATAATAAATAAAAATTAAAAAAAAAAAAAAAAAAGTAACCTTGTACCTTGTCACTCATTCTGAAAGCAGGTGAGTTCACAGTTCAGAACGCTGTGCTGATAATGTATCACAGGACCTTATGCACAGACGTAAGGATATTGAGAGTTCCATCTGCTGCTTTTCTCAGCCTTGGGACAAGATTATACATAAACACATTTGGGAGTTAATGACAGTTGTTAACAGAAAAGCAGTGACTTGTATGATATACTTTCCACCTGCTTTGTCACGTTTTTTTTTCACATTCAAGCCTGACGTGTTGCTATTTTATTTCAAAATACATTGTAAGACCATGTGAAAAACTAACCCATGAATTGAGTCCTTGTCTGCTTTCCTTGAGTAATGGAAAAGAGTAAATGTACTTAGTAAGAATCATCAACAGAGCAGGAGGACTTTGCAAACTATTGCAGGTACCTGCAGACTTAATGCAATATATGCCACATGGATGCAGACAGCCCAGGGAAAATTGTAACCTTTTCTAGAGGCTCACTCAATTTCTTTTCTTTTTTTTTTTTTCCTTTTCTTCTTCTTCTGTTTTTTAAAAGGAATCCTACTTTGAGATTGGAAAGTGTCAGAAACCACTTTCTTTCTGGCTTTGTCCTAGGTTTATTTGACATGGCCTGTGCCAAACTGTGCTGAGGGCTGCCCGGGTTCCTGGATCAAAGATGGCTATTGTGACAAGGCTTGTAATAATTCAGCCTGTGATTGGGATGGTGGTGACTGCTCTGGTAAGGGTGTGTTCACATGTAATTTGTTCATGTTTATGGACTTTTTTCATTCATTTTTTTTTTTTAACGTTTATTTTTGAGAGAGAGATTGAGCAAGTGAGAGTTGGGGTGGGCAGAGAGAGAGGGGGTAGAGCATCCAAAGCGGGCTCCATGCTGACAGCAGCGAGCCCGACTCAGGGCTTGAACCCACAAACTGCGAGATCATGACCTGAGCTGAAGTCAGATACTTAACCAACTGAGCCACCCAGGCACCCCTGAATGGTTTTTCATTCTTAGTCATTATTGAATATGTACAGTGACTTAAACATTCTGCTTGTATGAAAACAATCAGTAATCCATAGATTCTGGAGATAGTAGGGCTAGTGTCCCCATGTAGATCAGTTTTTTCATATTCTCCATTGTTGAGGGCATATTTCCATGCTGGCCCTGCACTTGAAAATGCCTTTTATTATTTAAAATACGAGAATCAGGAATAGCCTTAATTATATAAACTCAAGAGCAAGAATCACTCTGACTCAGTCTTGTAGGAGCTCACAGCTGGTGGCTTTCAGCAGCAGCTTGCTGTTAGGGAGTAACTAAAGAGAAATAAAGATCTTCTCTCTTCAGCATCCCCCTTACATGGTTATGTTTACACTTGTTGATAATAACGTGTTTTTACATTTGTTGATTGCCTTTCAGTTTATAAAGCATTCTCCATTATCCACTTGAATTTTTTAGTCACCTAAGGAAGAGAGAATACGTGCACAGGTATCATCCCCATATTCCACATGCGGAAACAGATTTGGAAACCTGTTGAGTATTAGAAAAAGCAAAGCTTGGGGCGCCTGGGTGGCGCAGTCGGTTAAGCGTCCGACTTCAGCCAGGTCACGATCTCGTGGTCCGTGAGTTCGAGCCCCGCGTCAGGCTCTGGGCTGATGGCTCAGAGCCTGGAGCCTGTTTCCGATTCTGTGTCTCCCTCTCTCTCTGCCCCTCCCCCGTTCATGCTCTGACTCTCTCTGTCCCAAAAATAAATAAACGTTGAAAAAAAAAAATTTTTTTTAAAAAAGAAAAAGCAAAGCTTTAAGTTGTAGTCTGGTCAGATCTATCCGATGCACTGAAAAATGTAAGCAGCTGCAATGAGAGAACGCAGACATACCCGGTGGATCTGTGCAGTCCAGAGAACTCAGCCCCTAATAGAACATTAACATTTGGTAGTGATATTGGCGCCCATATTTGGACATGTTTTGGCAGTTCTGACAGTCAGTCTTCAATAACCTCTTCCTGTTTCCCTGCTCCTCCACACAACCTCCACACGCCCCCCACACGCCCCTTGGAGCAAGTTTGTAGTTCAGGGCTGCACAGCTAGTAAGTGCCAAGGCCTGGTCATCCCATGCCTAATCCTCTGGCAAGTGATGTCCCCTTTTCAGTTTGTTTTCTTCTTAAGGTACATGAAATCTGGGCGCACCTTTTCTGGCTGAAATGTAGGCATTAATCTCAATAGCACTACTGAGAAAGAGAAACTGCCCTTTGTTCAAGATGATAAGCACAGCAGGATCCTGTTCTCTTCCTTCCTCTACAGGTAACAGTGGCGGGAGTCGCTACGTCGCAGGAGGCGGGGGTACTGGGAGTATTGGAATTGGACAGCCCTGGCAGTTTGGCGGAGGTCTAAACAGTGTTTCTTACTGTAATCAAGGATGTGCTAATTCCTGGCTTGCTGATAAGTTCTGTGACCAGGCTTGCAATGTCTTGTCCTGTGGGTTTGATGCTGGCGACTGTGGGCAAGGTATATTTATTGCCGTAAAACATATTTAGAATAAGGGGATCAAAATCCTTGATGAGTAGAGGGGAGTTTGTATTGTTGTTATTTAAACTAATTACTCTCTATGTATTCTTCACCCATCCTTGCATTCAAACTAGCAGTAAGTGAAAAGTAAGAGATCTTTAAAAAATAGTAGATACTGGAGCTGCTGCTTTTCCTGCTATTGCACCAGTCTGACTGATTTTGTACTAAGCAGATATACCTTTGTTGAAAATATATAGTAAAGGTTTAATTTAGAAATAATAAAAAGAGACCTTATAATGTACTAAATCCAATATAATGAATATTGGATCTTTTTTTTTTTAGTGTTTATTTTGAGAGAGAGTGAGAGATAGAGGGAGAGAACAAGCAGGGTAGAGAGGCAGTGAGAGAGAGAGAGAGAGAGAGAGACAGAGAGAGAGAGAGAGAGAATATCCCAAGCAGGCTCCACCACCAGCACAGAGCCCGATGTGGGGCTCGGTCCCACAACCCTTGGATCATGACCTGAGCTGAAATCAAGAGTTGGATGCTCAACCAAATGAGCCACCCACGTGCCCCTGGATCTTGCTGATAGCTTATCAGTGGTGGTCGTTTGGGCAGAATGTCATACTTTTTCAAATGGACACAAAGCTGAAAGTTCATCACTGAAATTTGCCATATCTCTATAGTAAGTTAGACTCTGCATTTCATGTTAATAGTGATTGCTTCAGATAGTAAAATGAGCCCTATAACAGCAGCTCTTGTGTTAGAATGTTTGACTATTTTGAAGTCAATTTAAAGTCATTCTTAGAAAGTGAAAACTCAAACCCTCAGAATTAAAGGAAAAGGAGGGGAAAATGCCTCATTTTTTAAAGTCATGTTTGTGTTTTTTCCTCTAGATCATTTTCATGAATTGTATAAAGTAACACTTCTCCCAAACCAGACTCACTATGTTATTCCAAAAGGTGAATGCCTGCCTTATTTCAGCTTTGCAGAAATAGCCAAAAGAGGAATTGAAGGTGCCTATAGCGACAACCCAATAATTCGACATGCTTCCATTGCCAATAAGTGGAAAACCATCCACCTCATAATGCACAGTGGAATGAATGCAACCACAATACATTTTAATCTCACGTTTCAAAATACAAACGATGAAGAGTTCAAAATTCAGATAATAGTAGAGGTTGACACGAGAGAGGAACCCAAAGTGAATTCTACAACCCAGAAATCTTACCAAAATTTGGTTAGCCCCACGACACTTCTACCAGAGGCAGAAATCCTGTTTGAAGATATTCCTGAAGAGAAACGCTTTCCAAAGTTCAAGAGACATGATGGCAACACAACAGGAAGATTCCAAGTGGAGATGACAATTCCCCAAGTGAATATTTCACTCCTTCCGAAAGAGGCCCAGTTGAGTCTCAGTAACTTGGATTTGCAACTAGAACGTGGAGACATCACTGTGAAAGGGTACAACCTGTCCAAGTCAGCTTTGCTGAGATCATTTCTGAAGAACCTACCAGATGCTAAAATAAAAAGAAATCAAGCTATAATAACAGATGAAAGAAATGACAGTGTAGAGGCCCTGCTGGAAAAACAGGTTCACAAAAGCATCTTGCCATATAGCTTGGGAACATTTGAAAGATTACAGAAGTCAACTTTTCCAGCAGCAACAATAAAAGTGAATGGCCACTACCAGAGTCCGAATCCACCCCCAGACTTAGAAATGGAAGGCACATTTAGATCTGAAATTCTGATCCAAGAAGTAAGAGGCGAAAGTGTGTCAAAAGAAAAACTCTCATCTCGAATTGTTCCACTGCAAGACCAGATGACAAAAGAAAAAATCACAGGGAAAGAACAAGAGAAACACAGAATGGAGGAAAATGTGAACAATTATATCGGTGTTAATGAAGTATTACCTGGCAGAAAACTGCAGCATCACGCAGACAGTTACCTGGGCTTTTTGCCATGGGAGAAAAAAAAATATTTCCAAGATCTTCTTGATGTAAGTTACATCCAGCCTAATTGCGTCCCATGCTCAGGAAGAAATAAATAACCTTGTGAGTAATAACTATAATAGGTGCCATTTATTTAGGACTTCCTGTGCCAACTTTTGGACTAAATGTTTTTTTTGTTTTTTTTTTTTTTTTTATACATGGTTTACTATAATTGTCCCAATACCCTTAACATAAAAATACCTTATAAGATTATCTACTGTCGGGATCCCCATGCTACAGTTTAGAGTGAAACAGCCTTAGAGTGAATGAGTTGGGAAGTTAGCCAGGGGCAGGCCCTGAGTAAGTAGTGGAACAGGGATGGTACCTTACCTTCACTTGGCAGGTTGTGATTTCAAAAAAAAAAAATGCTTTTGTGTATGTTGTGTGGGCCAGACCTAATATTTCTCCAATTTCACTGATGGAAAATACCCCAAGGTGCAGATATATTCATTAGCTTCCAGTGTGAGCCAAGCCTCAAAGTTTGAGTGCTCACCCTCCTGTACCACGGCCTCCGTGATGTCATTTGTACATCTGCCAAGTGCTGGCACTGTGGTCACTGCTGGGGAATGCAAGACTATTAGAACACAGCTCATGGAGTCTCAGGGGGCAAGCTGGGAGGACAGATTTGTGTGCAAATAATTATAGCAAAGTGATAGGGGTCTCTTGAGGTAGGAGCAAGGAGTCCAAAGGGAAAAATTCCTTAACTCCACTGAGAGTATTGGGGAAGGCATCGTGAGGCAGTGCCCCATAAGCCGACCTTTTAAAGGTGTGTAGGAGTTGACCAAGAAAAACACTGTGGTCTAAGCTGGATCGTGAGCAGAGCACAGTCATGAGTAGATGTCCAGCTGGGAGAAAAAGAGGAGGAAGAAGGGAACTTATTAATCTCATTGTCTTTGGAAAGTATTTGTTCCTGACACAGTAGTCATTTACTAATTGTTGAGTGAGGGACTGCGGAGTTCTTGCTTATGATGATTTCCTTGCTTATGATGACTTTTCCAAGCCCTTTTCTTTGTTTTATGTTTTAAATGTTTATTTATTTTGAGAGACTGAGCAAGTGGAGGAGGTGCAGAGAGCGGGAGAGAGAGAATCCCAAGCAGGCTCCACCCCATCAGCACAGAGCCCAATGTGGGGGCTTGAAAACATGAACCGTGAGATCATGACCTGAGCTGAAACCAAATCGGATGCTTAACTGACTGAGCCACCAGGCAACCCCTTTATTTTAAGTTACAAAAGTGTTGCAGGCTAGTGGTAAAAATTGCAAGCAATCCAAAAAATACACAATGAAAAAGGGAAAGATCTGCATCTTTCCTTCCTTAACCTCCCTACTTGAAATAATCACTATGAAAAGTTTCGTGGATACTTTTCCGGTATTTTTATATAGATATGCAAACATACAAACTATATAATACCTGTTTTGCAATGGTGAAATGACACTATTTATATCGCTCTGCCATTGCCTGTTGATTTAGTGGTGAGCAAACCCATGCCAATGTCATTGTTTTTTAATAGCTCTGTTTGTTTTGCAATTAACAAATAGTGTTGCAATAAATATTCTTGTACATATATCTTACTCTGGAGGAGGTTTTTACTTCTGTGGGTAGAATTGCTGTGTTACAGTTAAATTTGACTGTGTCCTTCTGAAACCCTGTACCGCTTCATACTTCCACAGTGTATAGTACAAGAGTGCTTGTTTCTCCACAGGCTAGCCAAACAGCAGTTAATGTCAGTCTATGGTGTTTTGTTTTGTTTTACCAGTTTGAGAAGCAAAAATATTTCATCTTCATAAAGTGTGTTCATATATTTTGCAAATATTCTTTACCCATTCACTTAGTTCTGCCTCTTACTGGTTTTGACAGGGCTCTTTATGATTTATAATATTAACACTATTAAGATGGCAAAACAGTTTTTTAGTCCTTGTGTTCAGAACTCAAGTGCTGACTGCTTTGGTGTCATCAGTGGAAATAACTTGATATTGATCAAGTTATCAGGGGACCTGGGTGGCTCAGTTGGTTAAGCAGCATCCAGCTCTTGACTTCAGCTTAGGTCATGATCTCATAGTTTGTGAGTTTGTGCCCCACATTGGACTCCATGCTGACAGTGTGGATGGAGCCTGCTTGGGATTTTTTCTCTCTCTCTCTCCCTCTCTGTCTTCCCCTCCCCTGCTCGTGCTCTCTTTCTCTCCCAAAATAAATAATAAACCTTTTTTTTTTTTTAAACAAAGTGCTATCAAATTTGTTTTTAAATACATTTTCTAAATATTGCATTGAACTGGCTATAAAATTTCATGCTTATCCTTGAAGAATACCCTATAAGTAGAACTGTATCATACAACAGTTGTTCACAAGCCAATAGTGGTGTTACTTTCACTGAAATCTAGTTTAGTTCTGCACTTAGGATCCTTAAAGTGACCTGTTAGCGCTCATTTCATTTGCCATTGTTAGTGGCTAGTTATATAACATAGTACCTTTATCTGTTAACAGAGTATACACTTGTGCACTAAACACAGCGCAGTGTTACATGGAATTCTCTTTTCAGGAAGAAGAGTCATTGAAGACACAGTTAGCATACTACACTGATAGCAGACACACTGGGAGGCAACTAAAAGATACATTTGCAGATTCCCTCCGATATGTAAATAAAATTCTTAACAGCAAGTTTGGATTCACATCTCGGAAAGTCCCTGCTCACATGCCTCACATGATTGACCGAATCGTTATGCAAGAGCTTCAGGATATGTAAGTATTGATTGTTTGAGCTGCTTGCACATGCTCAGAGCTGCTTTAAGTCTGCTTAAAATTGACACTTCGCTGTGCTACATGTATGGCTCTAATACTTGGTGACTGATGTGTTGAAGGTTTACCTAAAAGAGGAGGAAAGAAAAAGATTCTAACTCCACAAATGTTAGAATATATTTTAATGTAGATGAATGTCTATATATATTTTTTAAATGCCCAGAGCTCACTATATATGTTATGTTTGGGCAGGTTTCCTGAGGAATTTGACAAGACGTCATTTCACAAAGTGCGCCATTCTGAGGATATGCAGTTTGCCTTTTCGTATTTTTATTATCTCATGAGTGCAGTTCAGCCACTGAATATATCTCAAGTTTTTGATGAAGTTGATACAGACCAATCTGGTGTATTATCTGACAGAGAAATCCGAACACTGGCTACCAGAATTCATGACCTGCCTTTAAGTTTACAGGTGATGTATTTTTTTCCCTAAACTTTCCCCTTTTCTCTTACATATTTCAGTACAATGCAGGTAAAAGTAATTCTCTTAATTATGTAATGAAGCTGTTCACAACTAGTCCATTTTTGGTGCCAGAATTAAACCAAATTTGAGGTTCATATTTTATGAGATTACGTTTTTAGGCTTTATGCATTGCTATTGTATTATCTGGAGAAGAGCCAGACTGTCCCTGCATATAAGATTGTTGTGACAAGTTCATTCAGGAGTTTCGGGTGTGGCCAACTGGACTTATGTCTCAGCCAGGCCTAGGTTGTTGCACAATCCCCAGTGTCACGGCATCCCCTAGTCCCAGGAGTGAGAGAGTCGCTAATGGAGAGTGCCAAAATGAATCTAATCACAGGACATCCCATCTGGGCACTCCACTGACCATCCTGTGTAAAATAGAGCCTCACAGTCCAAGATGTATTACTTTTAGATGAAGATGAAATATTTGTGTTTGTATTATCTCATTCTGTTTTTTCTAGGGTGTTTTTATTTCAAGAATCATCTAGTCAGACTCTCTTTGAAGATAGCAGTTAAATTAAAAAAAATTTAAGTTTATTTTTGAGAGAGAGAGAGAGGGAGCGAGGCAGGCAGGCGTGAACAGGGAAGGAACACAGAGAGAGAGGGAGACACAGAATCCAAAGCAGGTTCCAGGCTCCAGGCTATCAGCCCAGAGCCCATGAACTGCGAGATCATGACTTGAGCCGAAGTCAGCCACTTAACCAACTGAGCCACCCAGGTGCCCAGAAGATAGCATTTAAAGAAGTTTTGGAGACATTTACATAATTTTTATTTTTAAATCATAGTTATTACTTGTATTATACATAGGTTTATCCTTTTATTTTGCTTTGTTAGGATTTAACAGGTCTGGAACACATGCTAATAAATTGCTCAAAAATGCTTCCTGCTAATATCACTCAGCTAAGCAGTATTCCACCAACTCAGGAAGCCTACTATGATCCCAATCTGGTAAGTGGCATGAGTTCCTTTACGTAAAACAGAAAATATACTTTAAACAGTAGAAGCAGGCTCTGTATTTATCTTTGGTAGAAAACAGTAGTCCAGATAATCCAGAATCGTTTATATCTTGCTTTTCTCCTGCCTAGTGGATGATAAACTAATGTTGAGATTGGTTGCTAATATTCTGTAACCAGACATCTGTTCACTAAGTATAGCAGAAGATAGCCAGTGAAAATACTTGAGAGAGTTTTGCTGGTGGCACATCCTGTGTTCACACTCATTCAGGCTTCCCCCCACCTGTACTTCTGTATCTGTCCTTCACTGTCTGTCTTTCCTCCTCTAGTTTTCTTTCTAAAGCTTATAAACTTTGGGTTCTTAGTAAGACTTTACAGTTACCAAACCCCTGCACTTACACAGAATTTGCACGTTTCTCAGGAATATGATTTACAGATAGAAAGCAGTTATTCTTGTGTTGTTACAGGCACAATTAAAGATTATTGAGAGATTTTAGTTCCCTTTTGAAATGCAAACATTTTTCTTTATTAGCAAAGCATTTCAGTATTTGCCAGCTTTCTGGCATGAGATTTAGAATCAACAAATAAATATCCTTTGTATGTTAAGAATTAAGTAAAGTCTGCTAACGATTATAAGTTAGTCTTGAGGCTTATGCAAATAAACTGCTTGGAGCATGAGTACCAGTTATACTGGCAATATAAGTTAACATTACTCAAGTGAACTCTTAGCAAGATGTTGGCTTTATTACTGTAAGTAACTGATTACATGTAGGTTATTTTCTAATTAGACTTTAAGAATGACAGGTTAGCTTATGAGTATCATGTAGACCAGTTCATAACAGTTTGTTAAAAATTTTTCTTTCTGAAAAAAAATTGTAACAATAACTTATGAGACTATTTTAACAGATAGTATATAGTAATGTGTGATTAAAAAAATTTTTACAAAAACAGGCAGTTAGCCTGCAGGCTATAGCATGCCAATTAGATATTTTTCAAATATTGGATTAAAATATTTGTCTTTATTACTGAGCCTTTGGTTCCCTCCTCCCCCCTTAAATTTTACAATGAGGTTAGTGCTTCACTTGCCTCACCCTGGTCTTGGCCTGATGCAATGTCTATTTTCTCATAGCCACCAGTCACTAAGAGTCTAGTAACCAACTGTAAACCAGTAACTGATAAAATCCACAAAGCATATAAGGACAAAAACAAATATAGGTAAGTAGTACGTACATTTTCTCTGCTTAAGAATAATTGTAGGAGTCTGGTATTTTCATAATTTTACAATAGTTTATCTCTTAAGCCTTTTAAAATTTATGTGAAATTGTTTTCTTTAGTAATACCAAAAGGTTAAGTCATTCTCAGGATGTTGACTATTAAAGTTTTATAAACTACTTTTTTTATTGAAATTTTGTTTTTATTCCCATATAAATATTTAAACTCTTTAAATGTTTTGATAATTAGGTTTGAAATCATGGGAGAAGAAGAAATTGCTTTTAAAATGATTCGTACCAATGTTTCTCATGTGGTTGGCCAGTTGGATGATATAAGGAAAAACCCCAGGTACTTTCTTTTTTTTTTTTAACCCATAAACTTTTTTGAGTACTTTTTTAAGTTCATAGCAGAGTTGAACAGAAAATAGAGAATTCCCGTAACTTTAAACAATTACCTTTAATTATGCAAACAAACATGAAAAAAAAAGGCAGTAGGACTCAAGAGAAGGAAGTGGCTTGTTTTGTTTGGAGTAGATGGAAAGGTCTAATGGTGAAGTAGAGTTTGAGCTAGAGAAAGCAGTTGCGAGTTGAGATAGGGTTCCAGGGTTCCCCCAGGCACAGGGACTAGCATGGACTTCTAAGAGTTTGGTGACATAAGCTATTCAGTGAGGCCAAGCCGTGGGCTCCATTGTGGGGAGTGAAGCCAGACAGCTGGGACTCTTGTAGCCTTTCTAAAAAGGTGCTTCTAGAAAAGTTGTTTTGGCAGTTAGACTTTTTAATTCAAAGTAAAGTTCAGATTAGTTTCTGAGGAAAAAGAAATGTTCTCATAAATGTGAAAATGAATCCAGTAAACTTCAGTCATTCCTTGGGGATGAATAAATGTTCAGGTTTATATTAGCCTTGAAAATTTCCAGCCTGGGCACCCTAACATTTGCCTAAGATAGTTTGATAAAAATTGGTTAAAACCTGCATTTTTGAGTTTTGAACTTTAGTGGGAAGCATTTCATCAGGAAAAAAAGGTCTTTTTTTCCAGGAAAATTGAGTATGTCTCACCTGAGTCTTTTAAAATGCTTTTGTAAGTCTTTAGTTTCCTTATATTATGATTTTATTTATAAATGATCAGAAGATATAAAATTTCTAGACATTTTATTTTATTTTATTTTATTTTTAATTTTTTTTTCAACGTTTTTTATTTATTTTTGGGACAGAGAGAGACAGAGCATGAACGGGGGAGGGGCAGAGAGAGAGGGAGACACAGAATCGGAAACAGGCTCCAGGCTCTGAGCCATCAGCCCAGAGCCCGACGCGGGGCTCGAACTCACGGACCACGAGATCGTGACCTGGCTGAAGTCGGGCGCTTAACCGACTGCGCCACCCAGGCGCCCCTCTAGACATTTTAAAGCCATGGTATTTTTTTCTGAAAATCTCATTCCTGGTTGTGGGTGGGGGCAGAAATGGGAATTTTAAGAAAAATGGAAACACCTTTAATGCTTATTTAGTATATTCAGTAATTTGGTACAATACTTCCTACAGAATAACAAGTATTTCCCAAAGGCCAAGCAAACAGTAAGCCATCATAATAATCACCCGGCTTGCAGCTCTCTGTATTTGCTGTTCCTTCTGACTGGAATGCCCTGCCCTAAGTTTTAAAAATAACTTTAAAAACCAATTTCAATACTTGCTTTTTGCTTCTCCCATTTGTTGGTGTGCTCTCTCAGTCATGTAGTTATCTATAGCAATACCATGTGAGAATTTGTAGTTTTCAGTTGTACCTTATACTTTTATGTCTTTGTGCCAGTTTGAAAGTTTTTGGATGAGCAGTTCATAGACCTACACGGTACTTAAAGAGACAGGATTTTAACTAGAAAGACACATGGCAGTCGAGGCTTAGTGTCTCCCCGGCCCAGATACCTCCTGTGACCTTGAACAGTCTTACCATTTTTAACTCTTGATTTGCTTTGTTTTACTTTTATGGGTGCTCATTTATTTTTCTTTTAATGTTTATTTATATTTGATAGAACACAAGGGGGGAGGAGAAGAGAGAGAAGGAGACACAGACTCCGCAGCGGGCTCTAGGTTCTGAGCTGTCCACACAGAGCCCGATGTGGGGCTCGAACCCACAGACCATGAGATCATGACCTGAGCTGGAGTCCGTTGCCCATCCGACTGAGCCACCCAGGTGCCCCTATGTGTGCTCATTTTTAAGTTAGGAGTGGAAAACCAGTATTCTGACTGAAAGTTTAAGGACACACTTGCACCATTAACAAGGAGTCTGGGCTAGGCTGAATCCAGGCTTTTTCTTCCAGCCTCCTCATCTCTGCTGCCCTCCTGCTTGTGTTGGCTTCATCTTCAGGCGGGAGATAGGGCAGCCACAGTAATTCTAGATGGCCCTGCAGATGGAGCCATGCTCTGAGGCAGAAAGGGACTGCCCCTTTTGTGCTGTCCCTCCACTTTTACTCCAGTCACGGACTGTGAAGAGGAGGGATTCATGTAGAGTCAGGAGCTGCCTCGGGGGTGAAGTGGGCTTGCCTCCCTTTGAATCAGCTCATGGGGAGAGAAATACTGAACAAAATGCAAATTCTCTTTGGAAGAAAGGGGGTGGTGTTTGCTGGGCACCCAGCAGGGTCTGCTTTAGCTACTTGTATCCACCCCCACCCTTTGTCTCATGCACATGCCTTCTTCTTTCATTTTTCCCAACTTTCTGAAAAATTTTGAAGATACAGAAAAATTGAAAAAAAAAAATAGTACAATAAATCTCATAAATACTTAACCCAGATTTTAAAATTGTCAGCATTCTGTCATATTTGCTTGATCTCTTTTTATCTACACATAACACAGACACACACACACACAGGTTTTGTTTTTGTTACTGGATGGTTTTTTAACCATCTGAAAATTAGTTTCAGACATCCATATACTTTACTTCTCATTATTCTAGTACATATCTTCTAAAGCCAAACCATTCTCTTTTATTTTTATTTTTTGAACATTTTTGAGAAGGAGCATGTGCGTGCGTGGGGTAGGGACAAAGAGGGGTGGGAGAGAGAATCCCAAGCAGGCTCCACACTGTTAGAGCAGAGCCCGACGCAGGGCTCAAACTCACAAACTGAAATCATGACCTGAGTTGAAAACAAGAGTCAGACACTTAACCGATTGAGCCACCAGGAACCCTCAAACCATTCTCCTTTATACCAAAGACCATTAACATGTATCTGAGAACCTTAACAGTGACTAATACCACCTAATAGATCATCTATATTCAAATTTCCCTAGTTGCCTCCAAATGCCCTTTATAGCTATTTTTTTTTAAATGCAGGATATAATTAAATCAAGGCTCATGCATTGTTATTTTGTTAACCTGCCTTTTTAGTACTCCTTTAGTTTAAAGCAGTCCTCAAGTTTAGAGAGTAGATAGGATAATGAACTTTCACCCATCACTCATCTTCAATAAGAAGTGATTTATGGTTGTTCTTTCATCTAAACACATCATTCCTTTACTACCACTTCCTGATTGTTTTTATGTAAATCTCAGACACTGTATCATTTTATCTCCAGATTTATATATATATATTTCTCTAAATTATAACAACTCTTTAAAAATAACCAGAATATCATTATTTATTCCTTAATATGATAAACTATCTGGTCAGTGCACACATTTCTCCAGTTGTCTTTTCTAAGCATTTATGTTTTTTAAGTTTATTGATTTGAAGTGGTATCAAGTAAACTCACTGCATTTAAATCTACAGGTTTTCCCTCAACCTCTCTTAGCCATATAATTTTTTGTGTGTATACGAAGAAATCCAGTTATATATTCTGTATTTTTCCTTACTTAGGATTTCTCTGATTGTGTCTCAGTTCTCTGTGTGTGTGTGTGTGTGTGTGTGTGTGTGTGTGTGTGTGTGTGTCTCAGTTCTTTAACATGTTCCTAGGTCTCTGTTTTTCCTATAAATTGGTAGTTGAATCTGAGAGCTTTATTAAAATTTGGTGGGGGTATTTTTGTTGTTATTTCTTTTTTTTATTTTAAAATGCACAAGTACTTCAAAACTGGTGTTATCCCTGACTACTGTTTCAGTGGGTGACTTTGCCTTGAAGGGAACTTGAAACAAGTAGAGAAGCATCATCTGTCATGTGCTTTTTGCTAGAACAGTAGTATCTTATAGGTTCGTTGGAGATATATTAAGAAGTCATCAAACTCACAGAATCTATAGCTATAAGGTACCATATCTATGTCACTGTTCTTTAGTACTATAACTGTGGCAGTTTAGAGAACTTGCTTTTAGGTGCTTAACAGTTTTTCCCCTGGCTGCCAACAAAAATGCTCTAGTCAGTAAACTACATTTATTAAACACTTAACTGGGGACATGCTAAACAGAAATCATTAAATTAATTTACTCCAACAGCTAGAAGGCACTTTTAAGATTATCTTCCCTAGCTCTTCTTTGTTTTATAGGTGAGGAATATCCAAAGAAAATTTTATAGGATATTACGCTCCCAGAGAATCATATCAGTACATGCAACAGCTTGGAACATTTAAGTGTTCATTTAAATGTGTTCATTTAAAATATACTTGGAATCTACATTTCTTGTTTTATTATGTCAAGATCATTCTTACCATAACCAATAACCCCAGATCTCTATTATCTCTAGGAAGTTTGTTTGCCTGAATGACAACATTGACCACAATCATAAAGATGCCCAGACAGTGAAAGCTGTTCTCAGGGACTTCTATGAGTCCATGTTCCCCATACCATCCCAGTTTGAGCTGCCAAGGGAGTATCGAAACCGTTTCCTCCACATGCATGAGCTGCAGGAATGGTAAGGTCTCATGTTCACATATGGGTGTGGGTGTGTGTGTGTGTGTGTGTGTGTGTGTGTGTGTGTGTGTGTGTTTTAGAGAGATGAAATTTCTTTAATGTATTATTTGATCTATAATTACTTTGTAAAAATACACTTAAAAGTTTTTATTGAGCTTACTGGCCAAGCACATCTGCTGAGCCTCATTCTCTACCCTATTTCTTGAGTACCTGCTGTATGGGAGGAGAACATAGTAACAGAAGCTGAGTGATTTGCTCAAGGTGAAGTAGCTGAGAAGTGGTAAATCCAGCCTGATTTCCAACCCTCCAGTTCCACTGTAATCCAAAGCTATTTTATAAATGTTTCCTTCATGTCTTATTTTACTACTATTTACTCCATGCAGGGCTAGGAATACATAGACGAAAGGAGTATGGTACCAGGCTATGAGGCATTCACAGTCCCTTCAGGGAGACAGGCTGCAGGCAAACAGTTGTGATACCAAGTGCTGTGGCGTGGTTCAGTGCTACTGGAGTTTGGATGAGGGAGTAGCTAATTCTGTTAGGGGAAGGTGACATTTGGACCTGGTTTTGAATTATGAAAAGGACATTTCCGGGTAGGAAAGCATGTTCCTGGTAGAAGAAATGGCATGTGCAAGGCACAGAGGTGTAAAATAGAGTGCTTTGGAGAAAAGGGAGAGATTGTGAAGGGCTGTATCTGAATTAGGCTTTTTTTCTTTAGAGAATGGGGCTCCCCAGAGAAATTTTTTTAGATGTTTGTAGTGATCAGACTTCATGATTTGGAAAGATAACTAATAGTATGGGGTTGGACTGGTGAGGAAGTTGTTTGGAGTGAGGCAGTATTGTCTAGAAACTGGAGGCAGGGATACAAGTACTAAGCATTTTAGTAGTTATGAAACAGTCAGTCAAGGTGTGAAGCAAGGACACACAGTTCAGGAAATAAGGAGAAAGCAGTAGACAGAATTGGGACAGATTGTAGAGAGAAAATTAGCAATCTCGGCAACTAGAATGCTTTGGTGTCTTCGAGTTGGGAAAGTGAGACAGCATGCAGATTGCTAATATTTATATATTTTTTATTTTTGAAATGAGAAGTTATTACTAAATTGTGGGTCTTGTCTTCTAGGAATGGTTTCTCCTCATTTTATTTTCCTTTAGCTCAAAGGAAAGAGATTTCTGGATGGTTTCCCCAAATCCAGTTTGTGACTTAATTTATCTTCAAGGGCCTAATTGAGTGAGAAAGGAGTGGGCTTAAGAGTAGTTTGAGAGGACTTTGATTTCTGTGCTATACAAATGAGATAAATCAGGTGTAGGACCTTTTTTCAATTCCCTCATCTGGGGGCTTCATTTTCCTCATCCTGCTCCACTTCTGGATCATCTCTCACTGCTGAGCACCAACACCACCCTACCTTCTAGAAACTTTACTTTTTCTCTTTCCTTTCATGACATCGTGCTCCTGTGTCCCCTATTACCTTTCTCTGGTTTCCTGATAGGCTTTCTTCTTGTTCCTTGGGTACAGCACTTTCTGCACTGTACAGCAGTCTATAGGGTGCACTTGTCTCTCCTGGTAAACTGTGAGCCCACTTCAGGAGCAGAGATGGTGTCTTACTCTTTTTGAGTCCACAGTGCCTCTCTAGCACATGGTAGGTGCTTGGTGGATGCGAGTGACTGAGGAAACCTCCAGCTCTTTTAAGGTTCTCTGGTTGCTGGGACAATTTTTTAGTTGTGTTACAGTCTGTGGTTTCTTGGCTCTTTAAATTACATATTGATTCTGAATGACACTGTAGACATTAGAACTGACTGCATTGGTTGTGATCCTATTAAGAGACATAGGAAATACAGGAGGAAAAACAGACGTACCATTATCAATACGGGACTTGAAGTAGAGACATCCACTGCCAAACTGTAAATGAGGTTCTGAACTCAGTGCAGAGGCCTAAATTTGGTAGTCATTAATATATCTTACAAGCCTATGTTAAAAGCATATGTTTAATCTTCATAATAAATTATTTCCAAATTACAGATGAGGAAACTGTGCTTTACTGCCTCTATCCCCAATATCCTATTTCCAAGTCCAGTTGCTTCTACTCTCAGATTGTCTCTTCTGTTGCTTCTTTCATTCTCACTGCCCTTCACTAGGTTTTCATACCCAGACTAATGTGACTGCCTGGCTGGTTACCTCTGGTCACCTGACATGCATCCTTCAGATGGCCACCTTTTTCACCGATTGTCTCTCTCTCTCACACACACAGACACACACCTGCCATTTCATATGCTTTCCCACTAGAGTATTATGTCCAAACCCCATTGCATGGTTTTCCAGAACACCTGCAGTTAATGCCCACCTGCCTTGCCGTGGCTTAGCTCTCTCCCTGATGCCCCCTAGGACTGACTTCCTTCATTCTGCAGGACTCAGCTTGCTAATCTGACTCTGCTGATGCTCACAGCCTTACTCAGCTAAATGCTTTCCCTCTCTGCTTCAAGGCTTGAATGAAATGTCACCATCCCTGAGGTGCTTTCTTCATTATGCTGTTTTCCCCAAGACTTTGCTTTTGATAATACATTTTTGGGTCCATCTTGTGTGATGGCTGTTCATCTGCAGGTCAGTGACTCCCCAGGTCGGTAAACACTTTAGAGCATGGACTTCGTCTTGTTCATCCGTCTGTATCCACAGGAAGTATTGACTGAATGACTATGAAGAAATGGATATGAATGCATAAATAAAAGTAAATGAAAGTGTGCTTTTGTCTAAATTCTAAATGCTAGAAGTAATTTTCTTTTGAAGTCCTCTTTTCTGCTTGGATAACTTTTACAATTCAGATATAATGTTTACCATGACATAATGAAAAATCTGAACTCGTGTTGGAAACGTACATTGTATTAACATTTTCAGATTGCCTCCAGTGATTTTGTGTTTCAAGACTTTTTGGTAAACTAGCATATAACTAATACAGTGAAACTATGCACAGAAACCAAAGACTGTAAGACAAACATATTTGTTTTTTCTCTCTCTCTGAATAGGAGAGCATATCGAGACAAATTGAAGTTTTGGACTCATTGTGTACTAGCAACATTGATTATGTTTACTGTATTCTCATTTTTTGCTGAACAGGTAAGTGTTACATATTTTATGTGGGGATCAAACTGTTTTTTAATATGTGAATATTTGATTCTTTTAGTAAGTGACATTAATTTACAACAAGAAAATTTTAATTTGGCATATAACTCAGGTGTCGATATGTCAAACATATTTCAAAATATTCAGGCAACAAACATAATAGCTTTTTATTCATTTACCTTCTGGATACACTATGAGTATTCTTTTTTACCTGGAACTCAGTAGATTAACTTGTAGACATCAAGCTAAAACAAAAAATCTCTAAGTATTTCTAACCAAAAAACCACCTAGAATCCTCATCTGATACTGATTTTGTATGGGTTTCCAATATTTTTTCTTATAACTTTTCTAAAAGGTGACCACCACAGTGTCTTATCTTCAGGTCTCCCAGTGTTCTGTGGACAGTGCCCATTGTGCTTGTGTTTCTCTCAATTACATTTCCTTTGAATTGCTGGGAGTTCTCTCCATGCAGGCATGCACACAACTCCTTCAGGAGTATAAGGGAGGTTTGTGAGGTAAAAAGAAAGGGATCAAAGAATCCTTATTTGGTGTAGGCATGCAATGCTCTAAACAGAAAGGGCTGAAGAAGAAAGGGAACAGTGTCTGGGCTGACCTGACTTACTGGGGCATGCAAACCTCACCTCAGCCTTCATTTGAGGTGACTGTTGAGTGGAGATTTTCTAGCTGTCACTTATGGGAAACTTGCACTGAGTTTACATAAACTGAGAAGGAGGAAGAGGCTGAAGTATTGAGAACCTTAGAATAAGCAGTGCATGGGCCTTCTGCTGCAAATGGAAGGAAATGAGGAAATGGAGATTGGGCAGTTGAACAGGATTGCTATTTAATCTTCACCTGCATCCCAGTAAATCTTGTTCTTGATATTTGTTGCCATTATTCCTGGCCGGTAAAAATCTTAGAAAAAAATCTTCAAAAAAAATTGTTCCTGCTTTAGAACAGAGGTCCAATGAGGAACGTAGGAGTCAGCTGTGTGCTGCCTGTGATGGGGAAGGAGAGGCATCTCGGCTCAAAGGAACAGTTCATGGCAGTGGGAAGGAACAAGAGGGCCAGTCTTTCATCTGTGTCATTTATACCAGCAGAGAACAGGGAACTAGAGAGGAAGAGGGAGAAAAGGGAAGAATAAATCCTCTCGTCTCCTTGCTCTTTACCTACTTGAAGCAAATTCCTTAACCTCTACCACGCTCCCCAACAAACCAGCCAGTGCTGCTGCTTCCTCTGCCCCACAGTCCCAGCTCATCACTCAAACCGTGGTGGCCTGTGCTTGGGAAAAGCCCTGCTTCTACCTTGAGATGGAGGGGTAGACAGTATGATCCCAAATTGAAACCATAAAGAACACATTTGTTTTTCTCACTGACACTTTGTTATGATGAGGGTCAGGTTTTTTATTTCAGACGTATCATGGATAAATTTTTTTTTTAATTTTTTAAATGTTTATTTCTGAAACAGAGCATGAGTGGGGGAGGGGCAGAGAGAGAGGGAGACACAGAATCCGAAGCAGGCTCTAGGCTCTGAGCTGTCAGCACAGAGCCCGACACAGGGCTCGAACTGAGATCATGACCTGAGCCGAAGTTGGTCGCTCAACCAACTGAGCCACCCAGGCACCCCTGATAAATGGTTTCTATGAGAAGTATTTATCCAAGTTCTAAGCCAATAATTTACAAAGTAGCAATTTGTGTTAAAACCCATTTCACAAATTAGGTATTACCTGTATTTTCAAATGATATTGCTATGTTTAAGGGGAAAGTGATAGGATTTTAATACAGGGTTTTAAAAAAAAATTGACATATTTAGTCATTTTCAGATCAAGAGGCAGTGTTTTAATAAGCTACACAGCTTTCTAGAAAGACTTGACAAACAGGTATCTTGAAAATAAATATGCTTGGTAATCACTATGTAAAAATTTGTGGTTATAGGTCTTTTAAATAGTGGAGCTGGGCCGAAATAATTTTAATCCTTGTGGGTTTAAATATTTTGTGGGCACATATCTAGGCATATTGACTCTATAACAAAAGTAGTAGTTGGTTTTATTTTGGGGAGGAATGATGGAGACTTGCTTTTTTTTTTTTTATGTAGAAGACTAGAAATGATTAAGGTCATATGACTATCAGAATTTAACATGTGTCGACATGGAGAAAATTTATTTTCTGTCTTTATTATCTAGTTAATTGCACTAAAGCGGAAGGTATTTCCGAGAAGGAGGATACAGAAAGAAGCTAGTCTCGATCGAATCAGGGTATAGAAGATCTTCATTTGAAAATCATCTACCTCAGCATTCACTGAGCATTTTAAAACCCGGCATCACAGAGATGTCTTCGTGACATCAGCCAGCTTGGCCTGAAGAAGGAAAAGCATCCAGTACAATACTTGTTTTGTGGTGTGAATATAGCCTACTGACCAGTAATTGTTTAACCAAGACATGGAAAACTTGTGTGTTGAGCAGCTCTGGACTGGTTTTACTTTTAAAGCATTTGCTCCTGGACCCATCATTCTTTTACTGAAAAGGCTCACTGACAAGAGACAGCTGCTGAGTTCCCATAGCAATCATTGCCCATTAACTTTCACATGAGAAGCCTTGGCTAGCTTGGGAGCCATTGCTAAGAGAACCCAGTCTTTGCATTCCAAAGCCTTTTGCTGTGGTTTTACATTTTTGGGTTTTTTTGTTTTTGTTTTTCCCATTTCCTATTTTTAAAATCAGTAGCTACTAAGTTAACTAGTTACCCTTGCTTCCGAAAATAATGAATTGGGATGTCTAAACACATTTTTATAGATGTTATTTAAATAATGCAACAATACCACCTCCTACTGGAAATACCTAAATTATGGATTTTATTAACATTTAAGACTGTAAGTGGTCAACTACTGAGGAGATCAATGACTGACATCTGAAGTACTTTGTGCTTGTTTACTTCAGCCCCTAAGAATGTGATTTCATGTGCAGGCCTAATTACAAAGGGCTAGAGTTAAGTAGCAGAGCTACCTTTCAGATGTAATTATGTTTTGGAAATGTACATATTCAAACAGAAGTGCCTCATTTTAGAAATGAGTAATGCTGATGGTACTGGCACATTACAGTGGTGTCTTTTTTAATACTCAGTATAATTCTAGTAGCCATCTCTTTCAGCTGGTTTCATATAATGCAGGGGTCAGCAAACTTTCTGTAACAAGCCACATAGTAAATATTTGCAGGCCATATGTATCTCTGTTGCATATTCTTCTTTATTGTTTAGGTGTTTTATTTTTTTTTTAACCTTTAAAAATGTCAAAACCGTGTTTAGCTTGCAGCTGTACAAAAACAGGCCACCAGCTGAATTTGGCCCATAGGCCATTGTTTGCTGACCACTGGGATAGAGAACTAGTATTTTTATGTATGAGTAAGCCCTGATGTTCAGCTCTATTTTATTTATATCATTATATGGTGGATTTCTGGAGACCAGATTCCGTAAGTCCTTTTTGAACTCTAACAGGTATTTTAGATCATGATCTCAACAGTATTCTTTCAAAATGGCACACATATTTTGTAAAAAAAAAACTTGTAAATACAGTGTTTGTGCTACAAGAGTTATGTATTTCAAAATGTGAAATCTCATAAAAACTTACATTTTGTCTGATGCTTTGATTTTTAAATCTTTGAGGAATGAGTTTATTGTTATCCAGAGTCCATAATCACTTGAGTGCTTGTACAGTGTATCAGTGTCTACTGAACACTACTGATAATAAATGGAAAGTAGTGTAGGAAGGTAGTACTAGAACATACTGGAGAATGTCCTTTAATAGGGGGGAAAATAAGTTCTAAATGGGATTTATTATACAGTAAAAATTTAGGATGTATCTTGGTATTCTAAACATGAATTTATTATAGAAAAATTATAGAGAAATGAATGGGTGTACTGGAGATTCTGTAGTTAGATGAATAGTCCATATCTAATTAAGAACATAACAGATAATGTGATAGAAAACAGAATCCTAGAATATTCATAGAACCATTCATCTAAATGGTCCTGTAGAATTATTAGAGTGGAAGAACCTCAGAAGCTGATGAGTTTCAAAAATTTTAAAGCCCCAGAACCATTAATTCAAATGAAATCCTACCGAAGACTAGTGTATAATATAGAAGGAAAGCTCCTCATCCTGCTTGACCCCAAGCTGATGCCTCCAAACTCTCAGCCTTGATAGGAAAAATTTTCACAATGACTCCCTGGACTACCCGTTGCATTTTATCATCAAGCACACCAGAGTTAGGAAGATTATGTGATTTGTCTAAGATCTCACAGTCAGAAGTATATGTAGTCAGACTTCTGGGATTTGAAGGACATTGTTTGCTACAATTCAGCTTTCTCCTAAAATGTGGGAGGCAGTACCTGGGGTTTACCTCAGAGACTTATGGTGATGATTAAAATAAATGGCAGATGTAGTATACCCAGCACAGTGCCTGGGAAATGACTCCTGCCTGGTAATGTCAGTGGTGATGATGGCAGGGTGAAAGTGTGTGTGTAAAGGACTGCTATCTAGACCAGGGGTGAGGTTTTTCATCCCATTTCATTGGGATGAAATGATTACGTTGCCCTTAGCTAAGAAAGTTATACATATTCTCATTAAAAAAAATTAATTTTTTTGCCTACCCTGTTTCTCGGAAACTATTTTATTTTTTGAGAGAGCAAGAGTGCACAAGCAAGAGAGGGGGAAAAGGAGAGGGAGAGAATTTTAAGCAGACTCCATGCCCAGCAGCCCCTGATGGAGCCTGATGGGCTCAAAATCATGACCTGAGATAAAATCAAGAGTCGGATGCTTAACACACTGAGCCACCCAAGTGCCCCCAAAAGTGTTAATTTTTAAAATTATATCTACATATACCAAAAAGCATACAAAGTATGATGAGTAACAGCTCAAGGATTTAAAAGGGAAGTGTAATCATAACTCAGGCCAAGATATTTAAGGAAGAAACAGCATTGATCCCACAAAAATCTAGATGGTAGAAAACAAAGGAAACACCATCTAACCTCATCCGTTGAGGTGAACACAAAGCCTGGCTCAGTTACCATAAGAGAGGAAAACCACACACCATCTTATCTCATAAGAATCCCATATGAGGGGTGCCTGGGTGGCTTAGTGGGTTAAGCATCTGACTTGTGCTCAGGTCATGATCTTGCAGTTTGTGAGTTCAAGCCCCACGTCGGGCTGTGTGCTGACAGCTCAGAACCTGAACCCTGCTTCAGATTCTGTGTCTCCTTTCTATGCCCCTCCCCCACTCGTGCTATGTCTCTCAAGAATAAATTAATGTAAAAAAAAAAAAATCCCACATGAAAACTAGGCCAGATTCAGTTATCCTTCAAAGGGGAACTCTTTTTATTGATCAAACTGAGTCCACTCAAGGAATTCAAGGTTGACCCAACACTTGAAAATCGGCACAGGTTTTGGGAACGCAAACTGGTGCAGCCAGTCCGGAAAACAGTATGGAAGTTCCTCAAAATAGTAAAAATAGAACTACCCTACAACCCAGCAATTGCACTACTAGGTATGTTATCCAAGAGACACAGGTATGCTGTTTCAAAGGAGCACATGCACCCCAATGTTTACAGCAGTACTATCAACAATAGCTAAAGTATGGAAAGAGCCCAAATGTCCATCGATGGATGAATGGATAAAAAAGATGTGGTATATATATATATATATATATACACACACACACATACACAGTGGAGAATTACTCGAAATCAAAAAGAATCTTGGCATTTGCAGCTACATGGATGGAACTAGAAGGTATTATGCCAAGCGAAATTAGAGAAAGACAAATCTATAACCTCACTCATATGAGGACTTTAAGATAAAAAACAGATGAACATAAGGGAAGGGAAGCAAATATCATATAAGAACAGGGAGGGGCACAAAACTGAAGAGACTCTTAAATATGGAGAACAGAGGGTTACTGGTGGGTTGCGGGAGAGGGGCTCATCTAAATGGGTAAGGGGCACTGAGGAATCTACACCTGAAATCATTGTTGCACTATATGCTAACTTGGATGTAAGTTAAAAAAAATAAATTTAAAAAAATAAGTAAAAAAAGAACCGAAAACAAAAAAAGAAAATCAGTACAGTTTACATCAGCAGGACTGACAACTGCAAGACCATCTCAATGGACCTTTTTTCAAAAAAGATTATAAAAAATTTAAAAGTAGAGTCTAGCATAGGACTTCGATCTGTTCAACAGTTACCAAGATTTTGCCACATTTGTTTGAGCTATTCTTTGTTTTTCTTTGTTGATATATTTCCAAGTAAATCCCAACTTCATGGAGTACAAAGTCTCAGTAAGGAGAGGGGAAGGAGCTTCTTGTCAGTCTTAGTTGCTCCTTCTTCCACTTGCCCTAATGACAGCTACATCTTTGTAAACACATTGTGTGTGCTAAATGCTTTATGTTCATAATCCCATTTCATCCTCCCCACATCCCTACGTTATCATTGGGACCTAACTAGTTTAAGTGGCTTGCTCAAGGTCTGTAACTATTAAGTGGCAGCATCAGCTTTTGACCCAAGTGTCTCCAAAATTAATTCTTAGCCACTAAGATACAAAAAGGGACTGTAAGGTTCAAAAAGAACAACCCACTTAAGGGATAAACAAGGGTGGAGGAGACAGATACCCTGCCAGGACTGTTGTTCAACACAGCCCATCCCTGCCTTGTATGTCAGCATTTCTCCCCAATAGTGGGGTCGTGGCAGCTCCTGGCTCATATCTCTCATAGAGGCAGGAAGTTTCCTCTCTGGCTCCAGTATAGAAAACATTGATGGAGAGGAGTTACTGTGATTTGTGCCTACTTCTATAGACAGGCAGATGGAGACTTTTACCAAAAGAAAGAGGGGAGGAGTACTGGGGTGACAAAAACACTAGCTTCACAGAATAAAGTTTGGGTACATGTGGAAGATCAATTTCCTGGGTTACTTAAGTTGAAGGCAAGCTGTCATACTTTAAAAAAAAATTAGAGGAAGAAGGCTTCTGGGAAGATGGTGGCATAGGAGGATGCTGGGCTCACCGTATCCTGCGGATCACTTAGATTCCACCCACACCTGCCTAAATAACCCAGAAAATCCCCAGAAGACTAGAAGAATGTATTCTCTGGAGCCAAGCGTAGACGAGAGGTCCACGGAAGAGGGTAGGAAGGGCGGAAAGGTGGTGCGCACTACACAGACTGGCGGGAGGGAGCCAGGGCGGAGGGGCAGCCTGCCAGCAAAGCCGAGCCCCCGCGTCTGGCTTGCAAAAACGGAGGGGCCGGACGGAGTGTGTTCTGACAGCAAACGGGACTTAACATCTGGAAGGTTATAAGTTAACAGATCTGCTCAGAGAACGGGAGGGCGCAGGACAATGGGAGGGAAAGTTGTTGGGCCCCGGACAACAGAGCGCAGCTTGGCGGGGAACAAAGGTGCTCGCCAGTGCCATCTCCCTCGCCCATCCCCCACCAAAATCCCAAAGGGAACCAGTTCCCGTCAGGGAACTTGCTTGCACCACACAAACACCCAACACCGTGCTTCTGTGGATC